TCATAATCAATAATAACGGGTTTTATTTGTTGTTTTATCTGAATGATTTTTATAGAAGATGTCTCTATTCATCTGACTTTCTAGTTCCTAGAATTTTTAGTAAGGTCATAGTACTGTATTTATGACTAGGTAATTCAGGGTATTATTTCAATATGTTTGTGTCTTACTTTTTCTTATGTCTTTTGCTGACAAGTAAAGTTTTTATACTCATTCATCTTTCCATTTATTCTTTTTATTTTCAAAAAATAAGGATAACAAGCCCAGACTGGTTCTTAAGAATAGCTTTTAGTCACCTCAAAGAAGTATACTAACTACATACAATTTGTGAATGGTGCACACTACACAAGTCATATTTTATACAAAAAGGCATGCAGCTGCAAACTTGACCTATGGAAACAACAAAGATGTTAATAGCGCTAACATGTACAAATTAAAATGTATACCTTCTTCCTTTTTCTTGAAAAGGGAGGGGGAAGGAATGGCCACATATTTGTGCTGTGACAGAATTCTAGTGTCAGGCTAATTGCTGCCTTTTATGAAAGGACAGAACTACTCAAAAATTGCCAAAATTATAATACGACATGTATACAATTAATTAATGATAATGACTGTCCATTCTCAAGTTAACTGGTCGCAATAATATAGTAACTAAATATTAAGTGATACAAATCTGATGCGAACCAGCTTTATTTGCAGTTAGGAAATGATCTAACTTAAGTTCAACTAAAATATTACTAGTGCCATCCTCTCAATAAATTTATGTTAAAAAATTAATAATATTGTGGGTCATGAGTCACAGTTGGGAGAGTAAGGGCATTATTGAAATGTCTAATCCTCATACTGAGCAAACAGGGCCTCAATATTTGCACGGATATTCTCCCTTTTGCGTCGACCAAGTCGTTTACTTGCATTAATAGCACGTAAAACATCAACAGGAAGAAGATCTTCCCCAAACTGCATGCCATCCTGTAATGTGATGCATTTCCTTGATAGAAAAAAAGAAAGATGGATGTGTCATTGAACTACCCTGATTAAACTTACCATTTCTTCACCTCCCAACAAAATGAAATTGTAAATCACTGCTGATGCTCCTATGTGTAGGCAAGCAGTGTGGATTTCTTTGGTATAAAGTTTCCCAAGACGCTGCATTCTTAATTTTAGGAGACCGTTCAACCGCTCAACAGTGGCACGACACTGAGAAAGTGTATAGTTGAAGTACCTTTGACTGTCATTCAGGTGGCCATTATTTCTATAAGGTACCAGCAGCTAGAATGTAAATTTACTAATTTTATTCACAGGATACATTTGATAAGAAAACCTATCTGATATATTTAATTACCTTGTTTGTCAGGGCATAGGCCTGATCACCCACGAGGTGCTCATCAGCACGCATCATGTCGTCTCTGGTGAAGAGGCAGTGGGCTAAAGGGCTTCTCCGAAATACCCTAGCATCGTTAACACTGCCAGGTTGACCAATGAAGATATCTCTGATCTGCCTTTTATGGTCTGACACAATCTGAATGTTGATGGAATAATCATGGTTACGGTCCACATACCGCTGCTTCTGTTCCCTTGGTGCTGTTATGGGGACAAGGGTACCATCAATGGCACCTACCACATTAGGAAACCCAAAATTACGCTGGTAGTGGCGGGCTGTTTGTTGCCTCTGTCTAGCATTCGGCCATTTAATATATCTATGACCAATTTCATTAAGAATTTCGATAAACTCTCTGTAGTGGTAATGATGTACACCCATGCTTCTTCCCTGATTTGATCCACTGCTTCTGAAAGTGTCTTTATTGAACAAGATCCAGAGACCCATCAACGTCTTTTCTCCGGTGTTAGTACGGTTTCTCACCATTCTCCCACTTACAATCCTATGGTGATGAATAGCGTTCACTAATCTCTGTAAATTAAACAGAAATTATTGAACTACACTTCACATGCATCTTTATTCATACTTATCAAAGCTTACCTCAAAACATGCCTTGTTCATCCGAAAATGCGTCTTGAACATGGGATCTTCTAGGTGTAGATAAGAAAGAGAACGTCTTTCTAAAAGCATATAGAATATCGTAAATTAATAAAAACATTCAGACAGCAATCTCAGACAAAAACACAATCCCACTTACCGACATAACCTGCCATGTTTGCAGCAAACACGAGACCGCCAAACTGACTGCCTCGCTATTTCAGAATTTATCAGAACAGAATTTGCGTTGTAAAACAGCCGTCGCACTTCGAGCGTTCGCGGATTTCGAATCTGGAACTGCGTACAGGACAGGAGATCAGCTGCGTAACAGGAAAACAAACGAATACACCAACCAGCCAACCAACCAACCAACAAACAAAATAACAAGAGGACGTAGGCCACACTATTAGTTTGTGCTAAGGAGGAAACTCGTTGCATAATTTTAAATAGCACCCTTAATTTTGTGGGATCGTCCGAGACAGTTCGTCCGTTAATTGCCATTACGAAACTAAACTGCCAAGCTCATAGCTCAGCTGATGCTCAGCGCCTACATGGTAGGCAACATTTTGCATGCCATGCATGCGTGTACTGCGGGGTAGCCTAACCCGATTTTCGCAGGCGCCGAGCGGCCGAGCTCTGATGCCGAATGCATCTGAGAAATACGGACGTACTTTCTGGACGAGCCCTCTGACAGATAAAATACAAAACGCACGCACGTACGCATCGCACGCATCGCACCTCGCACTTCCAATCAAATACCGTACCTCGCACCTCGCACCTCGCACTGCATAAACGCATCACGCATCGTAAGATCGCATCGTAAAATCGCACATGCACCCGCATCGCATCTCGCACTTCGTCCCTCCCTTCCTCGCACATCCACCTTGCATCGCATAAACGCATCACGCATCGTCAAATCGCATCA